AGTAGAATGAAGTCGTTTTCCCGTTACTTTCTAAAAACTGTGTGAAAGTTTTTGAAAGTAGCAGTACCATTTCTGTACTCTTCCTACAATATTCCTCACAGATTTGCTAATGCCTCCTGCTGTCTGCGGGCACATCTTCAAAAGGCACACTAGAGATCATCACTGTGCATTCGTCTGGACCTGCGTGAACTCATCAACTCCAGGAGTCTCATACGAATCCAACCGACAGCAGAGTTTAGTCCTGCAAATACCAGTGCTGTTTTACAAAGCACCTATTTTATTTTGTTGGGACTTAAAGTAATGCATTTTACATTGATTTTACCACTGTAGTAGATTACTTTGTGGGCCACAATTTAAAGGGTAAGCAAACAGCTGACAGTTTTGCTTGCGAACTACTCATTCTAGTGAATTTTAAGAAATGGGCATATTTGTGGAAAAATGTGGTAAAGAAAATAATTGGCACACTTCTGTAAACTGGAAAATCATTCAGTGCATAAGCTTGAGTGGATCTGCATACTACTATACAGCAGACAAACAGATTCTGTACCTAATTTTTTGTAACTTTTTATGCTACTTTTCCACTGTTGCAATGTTCCTCATCTGTTTCCCATGGTGGCTGATGGATGGCATTGTAGATGCTCCTTTAAGGTGCATGAAAATTATTTTTCCACTTATTGTGGCTCTCTGAGGTCTCAGGTATATGAAGGCCACAGGCCAACTGTCCTTGAAAAATCTGTTCAGTAACCCTTTGTATAAATAATGTGGAGTATCTTGAGGTAAAGTTATTTTACCAATGTTACCTTGTTAATCTTCTGGCTCCCTGTAGAGATCATTTGTGGTGTGGGATGAACCTCGTCCCTCTTTAGCTTTCTTTTCATGTCTGAACAAAACTTTCCCTCTACTCGGAAGACTCAGCTAGAGATTTCCTGACTGGAAGGCATTTCTGTGAAAAACCTCCCTAATGATTCAAATTTTTAAATAAAATAAAAGTGAAGAAAGTGCATCCACCCACAACCTTGAATTGCAGAGAACACAAATAAGGACTCTATAGCCAAGAGATGTGAGTAGGGTTACCAAACCTTCACCCAACACGCACATTAAAGAGTGGAAGAGATACTGGATTCCTATGATTTATACATTTTTGTGTAAATCCCCTTACCAATCTGTACAACCTCATGTCAGTATAAATTGTCATGAAGTGAAATATAACTCTAGTGAGTGGACAAAACATTTGTGTTCCTATTTCTCTGCTGAGAAGTCTTCAATAACTAAATACCAAGTTGTAAGTGGAAAGAGTCAGTTATGCAAAATTTCACTCACAAAGGTAAAACCCTTTTATACCCTAAATTAAGAGGTTGCTACTAGTGCCGGACTATCCAATGTCCCCACACAACCACTACTTGGCAGGTACAATACAGGCAGACAACTATATAAAAGAAAGTAAATATATCTTTAAAAGTTATTGCCCCACAGCTGCAACCTTCATAGTAGTTTAAGTTAAGTAACTTTACTTCATATCTCCACAGACCGTAAGTATGTCTGGTACCTGCATTTCAGCTAAAGACCTGTATCTTATTAAAATACACTGCTTAATCACCTCTGATCTGACCATGCCCTTAGATACCTTCCAAAATTAATAACTTATACTGGCTAGAAGAGATTTATAAGTCTCTGAACTTCAGTCCCAGAAAGGTGTACAAAGACTGAATACACAATCTTCTTTCTTCGTTGTATAGTATGGGCAAGAAGAGCGAATCCAGAGTTGACTTTCCGCTTAGTCTTCCCTCATGACTGCACCTTTCACAAGGCACTACATCTCAAAGGACCAGAAAGCCATATTCATTTCCAGGAGACATCCTGAGCTGGTAAAATGTAACAGTGGCATTTCACAGGCTTGAGACTCCACATTCAGTGCAGCCTGTAGTGATTTTTCTGACATTTCATTGACTTTCATTACATATAAATGACTGTAATAACAAACTTTTTAATCTATGCTACCAAAACTGCTCTTCTTTTGAGTGCACGTAATTTCAACTAGTATTAATGGGAATGTCACACACACACAGAGCAGGGTAGAACGGCCCCTGAAGTGTTCTAACAGCAATATTAATTTCTCCTGGTGGGTGACTTTGTCCTCATAACAATAATAAAGCTACAGTACTTTATAAATGCAAAAGGTCTCTTGAAGGTTGGTACAGGCTGTTATTCTAACCTATTACCTTCGTGAATTTTCATCCAAATTAGAAAAATCTGGTAACTGAGGCATACTCATACAAGGTTCTAATCTTTAAAGTACAAGCTGCAAACACTGCCTAGGCACTTTTTTCTTTACTTTTTTCTTTAAAAAAAAAAAAAAAAAAAAAAAAAACAAAACATTTAACAAGCAAGAGACACAAAGAAAATCTATGGGAGATATGCTGCTTATTCATAAAGGCATCATTTGGAAAAAAACTCCAGATTTATCATTGTCTAGATAATCCTGCTTTTGCAAAAGGGATCTACTTGCTCAGCTAAACACTAAGGTAATTGAAGTGGAAAATAGTACACACTCCACGTTTTCAGGTGTAGGAGTCTCATTTCCATGCAGTGAGAATCCCTGCAGCCATAACCTTCAAAAAAACCATCCTCATGAACTCAACATAACCAACATATTCCAAATTTCAAGGTGAGCAGATCCATTCTGAGTCTGCCCAGAATCATTACCATAAGGCAGTGCTTGGGGACACTGTGCTGCAAAAAGCAGTCCTTTATATGACATTACTACAGTTTAGGGGCATTTATTTATCCTAAACAGTTAAAAGTTTGTTACAGGATCATCTATATTTCAATAGATACAGAAGCATCTATTGTTATGACAGAAGTCTTAACTGTTCTCTTACCTGAGGGTCTGTTCAATCTGCAAGCAAATCGTTACACTTCAAAGACATTTTCTATTGTTGTAGATTTGTTATGAACTAACCCTTGAGAAAATTTACTGCAAACATAAAAATTTTATTCACTCTCTTTAGGTAGAAATTCTAACACAAATCCTTGAAGATAAGAGACTTAGAGGTAAATGGAAGATGGAGTAAAATCTATCATGGATTTAACAAAGTTGTAGGATGCAAGAGAAACCTTACAGGGATTTCTATTAAGATAATTTATTTTCTAGATAAAGAAAATTTCATGTATCTAGTTTAATCTATATATCAAAGCATTTATTTTTGATACCACAGATATTTCCTTATCTAATTGAAGAAGATAAGGATGGTAGTAAGGAAATGGCTAAAGAGGGAACAATGGCACTTTCTGTTCAAAACGAGATAGAGTGGAGTTCCTCACCAGTCAGTCTTGGTGGTGTTCAACCATGGCCTTGCAAACAGGCACATGGAAAATGTCAGCACAGGGCCCAGGCAGCACCTCATGACCTCAGCCTGGGAGAGTAACAACAGGCAACATTCAGCAGCACAAACTTCAAGGCCACTCTCCGAGGTAGAATCGTTAAGAACACACGTTATCAGCCAGGAGGCATGTGCTGAAAAAAGCAAGCCTAGAATATTAGTCAAACACTTGCTGACTGTGAATTGCTAGCACGATGCAGCTATGAAAACGGCAAAATCAGCATAGGCTGTAGAAAGTGAAGTATTTGCAGCAGAGATGGGGAAGTGCTAATGACACTCCAGAAAACTGACAATGGCAGATGTCAAACAAAGTGCATAATTCCGGCAATCCTCATTCAAAAAAAAAAAGATGCGCCTAAATTGTAAGTAATGTAAAAAAGGGTTACAAAGATAGGAAGAGAAAAAACAGGAGATAAAGAGGCCATGGTTATTTTAATGCCTACTGAAATGTCACCTGGGTGAAGGAAAATACATCAGGGTCATCCTAATGAAGGGAGAAAAGAACACAGTTAAGTAGTAAGATATAGGTATAATCAGGACATGAATCAGTTCAGTTTGGATATTAGAATAATATCTCATCAGAGAAGTAAGGGTCTGCAACAGTCTTAGTTAAAAATTGCGTGGCAAAACATTGACACTTTAAGACCAAGAGGATTACTTTCTGCACCACACTAGGAGACAGTGCTTGCCCAAACAAAAGCCTGCACCTGATGACCCACAGTTTTTAGCCCCATAGAAGCTTAACAGTGGGGTGCAAACTGAAGTTTCTGAGAGATTGCAAGCATGCTGCTTATAAAAACCTCTCCTCTAGAACAAACAGACGAACATAAACTGAGTCATTCACTTAGAGAACACACCAAGAACCTGGGACACTGATCTCTTCTACTACAGAGCTGCTGGCAAAGACTTTAATTTTGCTATTGCTCAGCAGAAGGACAACACTGGTGTCAGATGCCAGACAATAGCATTAGAAGCAGCAGCAATCCTCCAAAAAGACACAGGCATATATTACAGCATTTGTGCAATGAGTCAGAAAAAGCTGTAAATCAACCCAAGATCCTCTGGAACGAAGCTGCTTCAGGAATATAACATCTCTGTCATGGGCTGAGGATCTAGGAAGGCAAGTCATTCATTTGGGCTGTATTTCATAATCCCATGCTATCAAACTTAGTTGTAGTTTCCCTCCTTCCTCAGTGGCAGTGAAAGCACCTTCTGGGTGGCTATTGAAGATGTAATATACTGCATCCCTTCTGGGTAGGTATGTTACATGCCTTAAATGGGAAAAACTTAATTAGACATAAGTAGTTTTGGGTCTGTTCTCAATTCCACCACAAATCCAGCGTATGGCCACTGACAAGTTACATAGTTTCGGTGTATTTATCTTAAAAAAAAAAAAGAAAAAAGAAAAAAAAAAGAAAAAAAAAAGAAAAATAACTTTTCTCTAAAATTCTTGTTTGTTCACTTAGAACACCTCAGCAATGGTTTTTACTATGCCTTTGTAGAGCACTTTCAGAAATAAATAAAAAAATACCAGTTATGGGTCAACATTGTACAAATAGCAAATGAAAATGATCTTCACTGATGACACTGTTGAATATACATGCACAGAAGCGGTAGAAATAGTAAAGGTAATTTTAAAATTTAATCAGAAAATCAAAACAATGGAAAAATATTAAGAATGTAGAGCTCATTAGGGCAAACAGAGTCTATTAGCTGTTCAGCTGTCCAAGCACAGAGCAGAAAATCTCTTGTTTACTTATCACTGAGTACAATGACCACTATGATCCCAGCTGTAATCAGATACATAATTGAAAGTGAACTAAACCAGAGAAATCAAAACTAAAAAACACAGGGCCAGATCTTCCCACCACTGACTTCGATAGAACTACCTGGCTGAATACTCCCACTCACTCTAGCAAATCAAAAGCTAATGATTATTATTCTGAACAGCTTCACACTGCTGATGGTATCTTTCTCATAAATTAGAAAGCTTGTGCACAATGATCTAAATTAGTACAATACACTTAATTTTTTTTTTTTTGCTTTTCTGTCTATATAAAAATTAATTGTACATTGTTACCCTAATATTTACATAAAGCATAACCATGAATTCAGTATCTGGGTCAGCAGCAGTTCATCTGCATGATAGCCATCTGCATCGTTGCATTAGTCTGCTTCAATGCATCTTAGTCACTAAATGATGTAATGGGGAACAGACTGGCTACAGCTTCACCTCTACTTACTGTTGTATTTATGAAGACTGATGACAAAACTGTAACAGGCAAATAAGAAAAACAGTATGAAACGCATCTACAATAATATGGAACAATTATGTGTCACAAAATTTAACCACTTGGAAATTCAGTCTGTCAAGGAACTGGACATTTAATTATTATAATCATTCTAAACAAGAACTAAATGAAACTGAAGATTCACTTGTGTCTAGATTTCTGCTTATGAATTTTATGTTACCTATTAGGGTGCAACCAGAGCTATGAAAATCCAAACAAATTACTCTCCTTCCAGTAAGCCTTCCTTATGCAGTACAAGCATGCTCTCCTTTTTTTGAGGCATCTGAATGCATATTTCTAGCTAATGGCTAAATTCTTTACATATTCCTTGCCTCTTTGAATCTAGATATGGAATACTTCGCTATTCCCCTGGAGAATGGATTTATTTTAGGATGAGAAAAACTATGTCTACTTTCAAATTTTGTCTCTTCCTCATGCTTTCCTGCCATCACTTATGAATGTAAAAGTTAAACTACCTAGAACTAGCTAAGGAAATAAATCTAATTGCACAGATATAACCAAAGTATGCCCTACAATAATTGCTACTAATTTATAAGTTCCATCCTTTCACCTTCATACAACCCTGATAGTTACTAAATCACAGTTGAAAACACACTAAGACATAATTTACTAACACTGTTCTTTTGGCTCACTTATCATTGGGATCAGATTTATATTTTTATGTTGCACTGTATGTGAGAAGTACCTCAGACAAATCCATAGAATCATTTGGGTTGGAAAAGACCTTTAAGATCATCTGTATCAGTTGTAACATAGGCATTTTCTTTCTATGACCCCCTAGGTTACATTCATGATGTAAATTCATTTAAAACTATTTTACATGTCTTAATGTCATTAAGAAAGTCTTATCCTTGATGCACCGCAGAAGTACAGGTGTGTGTTTTCACAATTTTGTGCCAGGCATCAGATCCTTAGGAATCCAAGGTGCATTTCAAGTAGAACCAAATCTTCTTTTTCTTGTGAAATTAAAATGTAGCATTCTGTATAGTAAAATCCAGGTTCAGGAACTGCAGCCACAGTTGAAAGGAAAAGTATTGTCCTTTTTGCCGACTAGTTCTGCAACTTCAAAGAAGTCAATAACATCATCACAAAAAAGGGTCTCTGTGTAACAGCCACGGAACAGTTGCACATGCCATTGTTCTGGAAGCGACCCACAGGTTTATTCTTTGCTACCGTGTTACCTGTAAAAGAAGAGGAAAGAGTTACCTACATAGAACCGATCAAACAAGGATAAAAATGTGTGTTTTGTTGCTGTAGGAGTACACACTAATACATCATGAATGAACTTGCCCCAGCCATACCTATATACCTTGAAGAGAAGCAGAATCTGTATGCAAATGTTAATTACACTATTATTCAATAGTATAAAGAAGACTTGCAGATAAAGAAACAGCTGTTCACTATTAAATTTGCCACCAATATCTTATGGAAACCTCCTACTTTATTTTGCTTAGCATCATTTTCAACACCAATGCCTACAGCACAAGTGTATGACTTATTTCCCAAAAGCTCATTCATGCAAACTGCTCCCCATTCCCAATGGTCCCTCTTATGGGAGGGAACTAGGGATCAGGCAGAACAATTCATCAAGGTGGGATGAATTGTGCTTGCGGCAGAAACCACTCCCAGATAGCGCTTCTCCCACAGCACCCCACAGTCTCTTCCACTAGAAACCATACGCAGACCCAGTCAGGTGCTTCAGGGTGTATGTGCAAGCCTTCATGCACAGAGTGCACAAACACAGTGGATTTGGCTACACGGGGAGGAGGGGTCCTGTCAGATTTCCCATCCTGGGAACAGATGAGCATTAGCAGCCTGCAAGGAGGAAAGCTTTGTCAGCTCTGCTCTGTAGTGTTTAGATGTGCTACAAAACAAAACAGACTCTCATCATAAAGAGGTTTTATTTCTTTCCCTAAGGTAACCGATGTAAGATACAAGCTCTTTGGTTTTTAATGTTTTAACTGTCCCACTCAGCTACTAACTATTCATCTAAATACTGAGTAGCGTCAGGAGTCTCCTGTGCTTCATATGCTTCAAGTTACTCTAATATTTTCACAAAATAAAAAGACAGAAGACTTAAAATTGATTAAATGGCATTTCTTCTTTCAGTGTATAATTAACCTGTGGAAGTCATTGTCCCAACTAACACTGATCCCATGGTCTTAAAAAGCTTTAAAAATTGATTAGAAATTTAAATGGTAATGAGATCATCTTTGGTACATAACATAGAAAAAAATTAATATGGAATGGATCTCAACTCTCATGTTGTAGACATAAGTCAACTATTAAATTGGAAGAATTTTTATGTATGCATACATTTTCTATAATTGTTCACAAGGGTTTTGCTGTATCTGATTTAAGTATCCCAGCACTGAGACACACGGGTTGCTGTACAGTTTGGACTACTGGTCTGACAGGTCATACAGTCCTCTCTGCGTAAAGTTTTAATAATGTACTTAATACATATTTTATTGATTGAGATGAGTTTGGACAAATCTTTGGTTAATTTTTAAACTAAAAAAACAAATTACATCATACTTTCCTTTTCCCTATAACAAGGGAAATTTTATTTCCACTCTATTTTCCTTCCAGTTCAATACTGCCTGTGCCACAAGCTTCTGTTCAGAATCTGGAGTTACCATTACTCATTATATTTGTGCAACAACTATATCTTGATAGACAGAGAAAAACACTCACAAGACATACAAAATACCTACAGAGGAAATATGGATGCCAGGACAGATTTTGTAGCACCACTTTTGCTGCCTAGAAAGCAAACATCTACATGTAAGCTTGCCATCCAGGGCTTCCTTAATGTACTGGAGAGAGAAAGAAGTACCCATGGGAACACTCGTGTAGATGGGCACAGTCCATCTGTAAGCTCCCCCATTTCTCTCCACACAACTTTGGAGAATTCTAAACAATTCAGCATGGACAGAAACATACCTGCAACTGGACACAATGAATCCCACCCAGAAAACCTTGAACAAATTGCGTCCTTTCTTACTTGGACCAACAAAGACAAACTACATGATTTCCGACTGATTCTCACAAGGTACAATCCTAAGAGCTAACTACAGGAGTACAGCAACTTGGTGATAACAAGCCCTCAGATTTTAGAAATGCCACTACTACTGGGATACAGCTATTTTAAATCTCAGCCTCCAAGAGTAACTCTTCAGGGTTCACTTACTAACACCAGCAGTTAAGTGCCGAGGAAAAGCTTTCATGGGTCAAAACCAAAGTACTTAAAAGCATGAAAGTAATTGTTTCCCTGAAGTATCAATACATAAAACACATACAGCAAACAATGCAAGAATTTCTAGCAGAGTAATTAAAAAGGGAGGGACTGAGACACCTTTTTAAGGGATCTGCCCTTTAAGGACATCTGCCTGTTCTCTTCTCTAACATGGCAAATCGCTAGTTAAAGGTTAAGACTTCTCTTGTGCCATTTCAATGTAACATTTAACCACTAACTTCATTATTCATACCTACATTTATATTGTTGCCACACTCCAAGACCCCTGTCAGAATTGGAATCTCCCTTATACTGTTGCTAACCACATGCACAAGAAAATACAGTCCTACCTTAACATCCTCAAATCTAAAACAACACAGAGCAGTGAAAGAAAAACAAAACCATGCAAGGAAAATTAACAGGTTTTATGCCAGTAATACAGCACAATGATTCACACCTGAGCACAATCACCAGTTGTCTGTTTATCCTTTCAATTAAATGCCCCTCAAAGAAATCTCTTAGGGTAATTAAAAAAAAAAAAAAAAAAAAAAAAAATCAATGCAAAGTGCATTAATCCACATTCCAGCAAGGTAGAGGAAGAGTTTAATAAACCATTTGCACTCATAATGCTACGCCCTGCCCTCCGTTAAACCCACACTAACTCACTGGAGTTGAGGAATTTGCACAGGTCTAATTGCAGGCCGGATGATTTGTCCCATTCTAGCTTTATAAAGACATCCCTAAACTCATCAGAATGCATCACCGCATTCTGTAGTTCGCTGGTTGCAATATTTGTCATGGATAATAAAATAAATGATCCATGCCAAATTTGCCCCTCTATTGGTAAACTCTCACTGCCTCAGGCTGCCTCTTTTCACTGTTTAAGAGCAAGAGTCATGAACACAGGCTACACGACTTGTGGTCAGTTGACCTCAGTGAACTAAAAGGCAACTGTTCATAGGAAGGAAGAGACAACAGCATGAATGAGGTCTTGACACCTCAGGCCTTCAGTCATCAATGCCAACACAAAGTAATTTCTTCTACCCTTTACCCCTCTAGTATCTATTGAAGGCATCAAGAATATTTAACCCCAGCTTACTCTTTTCCAATAAGGTGCTTCTGGTACAAATTTCCAGCTCTCTTCTGGTATGTCCAGAGAGGAAGTTGTTTTATTCAATATCTAGAACTCCTACTAAGCCAGTCTCACCTTTCAGTGTGGTGCTACACTACCCCTTATCATATATGAGTAGTTAAAAGTCAGTGCCTGTGAAAAAATTTAAAGGCTGAGTCTAATCCACATCTTTTAATAACTGACTGCCAGTTACTCATACTGATTCTAGAGTGTACAGGTCAACTTTCGGGTGTAGTACCCATCACAGGAGGACAGTAGGATCTAGGCACACTATAGACTACATCTTTGGCAGTTGATAAATCATTTGATAAATTTGCAACAATTCTTCTGACCTTAAAAACAGGAATAGGGTTTTTCAGACTGGTTGGTTTGGTCAGATTTTTCCAGCAAGCCTGCCACTGTGCAATATCTGTAGCTGGACTTTAGACCACCGATATCACACCACAGCTGCCCAAAGCATCTAATTTTCTCTTTCATCCAGAAATTAGTATAGTTTTCACTCCTTAGAGCAGCCATTATTAAACAACATTTGGTGTCAGTATTTGCTTATTAACTCAGACTGTAACTTAATCAACAACATTCATTCCCAACTAGAAGAGGCTGTAAAGGGAAAAGCTAAGCATATGTCTTTCCTTGCTACTGCCTACTAAAGACTCCTGCTTTATGATATATTTAGATATGCAGTTTTCTAAGACTTGTTGAACTTCAATGCACTGAACTCATTTTAGATTGTTAAGCAGAGGACATGACATTTTCTCTCTGCTGGCCATTAAGAAATAGGATGGCATAGCAAAGTTTTATTTTTAAAATCAGGGCATCTACAGGATGGCTTGTAATTAGAAATTATCCGAACCAGCCTGATTTCCAGTGGTGCTCAGTGTCCCACAGTTCCCACTGACGTCAGTGTAGATTCTCAACAACTCCCAATGCAGGCTACTTCTTTCAAAACCCAAAAGGGCTTTCCAGTAGCACAGGAATCTGACTTTAGGTGGCGCTGGTAAAGACCTTAATTCCATGTACTCAGCCTGAAAAACTGAAGAATTGATCCTGGAACATGATTATTACTCAAGCACCAGTCACAACGGAATAGTTTCTTTCACTCACTAGAGACTGAAGCAGGGCCTTCTTCAGTTTGACTCCAGCATCCAATAACTTAACTAGGCTGGCACTGAAGGGACGGTTCTGCCCCAACATTACCCTCTCTGAGAACAAGTGCATTAATCATCACTTTCAAAACACTGAGGAGTCCGGTACTGGTGCTCACACCCACAGACACAATGGAATAAGCAAGGGCTATCAGCAGACTGCCACCTTTAAATATAGGCGATCTCTGTACTTGCCTTTGTGGTTTTGACTTTATTTCCACTGCTGCAAGACCAACCTGAATAGTCTGGTAGTACTTTACAGTCCTCTCCATCCAAACAGGGGTTCATATGACACCACCACTTCTGTAGGACAATGGAAGCTAGAAAAAGAAATAGGAAAGAGAAACAGAATACAATCGGGTTTTCATTACTGTTGGGTTTAGTAGGGAGGTTGTCCGTGCAAAGTTCAATTGTTTGATTGCAAAATGTAGAACCAAGTTACTGTTTTAACAGATAATCACACTGATTGTATTTGAGCTAGAAATGTGAGTAGAAAACACCACCAGCACACAGAAGGGTAAATGCCATATGCAAATAGTGAAGACAGGCAAGCACCACCAGAGACAGAGTCCAGCATTTGAATTAACCTCTGGAAGTTATCTCCTCTGACTACAAAGATGACTTGCCTCCTTCATTTACATGCTTCAGCCAAGTACTTGCTATAAGGTGGAATGAAACTAAGGCTTCTTGTTTAACCCAGATATGCATATGCAAGACTGGATGAAGAAATGCCAGTTTCTCCCTTCACTGGGTGAGAAAATAAAATTGCACAGAGATGTAAGCATGTGAGGTCTGTCAGAAAATAGTGCAGATAAAATGTGGAAACCACTGAAAAGTTTTAGATTATTAACTAAAAATCTACTTGCAGTTACACTGTCAGTTTTGCAGTATGTTTTGGAAGACTACAGTAGTACACCTTAACTGTGCAAATGTATTAATTTTCTACCCTTAAGCCAATTTCCATTAATAAGACAGTGCTTGTTATTTTTACAACTGTAGTCATGAATTTATAACACGCTGTTAACAACAGATATACTCTTCTACAAAAAGATCTGCATCCATTTCTCAGTTTTGCATTGTTCATGGGATTCATCAAAACCCAGAAAAATGTTATGAAATATATCAGCTCACAATCTTACATAATCTAAATTGGCTTTAAAATTAAAATATAGCTTAAAATGTTGATTTAGTTAGTTTGCATTATGCTATTATGTGCACAAAATATGGAATTGCATGCTTTAAAAGATACCACATCCAAAAGTGATGAACAAAAATAACTTAGTCTACTTCTTATAAACCTTTACTTTTAAGGTAGATTCGTACTTCTGCAACCTTCAAGTCAGGGTGACAAGCAGGCAAGCCAACATCAGAATATTGCTGAAATGTTCATTCAATTACTTTTACTTTGCATTTTTGCTCTAAGCTTACTTGAAAAACACTATGAAAAATATACTTCTGGAACACCAGTTTGGCTTTTGTAAACTCTTCTTTCAATCTCATAAAATTATAATATAAATGCATGATTCCTTTCACTAGTCATTTGGAGCTTAGATCATTTGCATTGATGCTGATTGATTGTTGACAAAATGGAGGAAACTTGACTGTACTTCCTAGGAGGTGAGCAATCATTTCCACTCCAGACATATGGTCCAATCATCTATTTTATCTATTTTATCTCTGCTACTTTCTAATTTTATTTCAATTTCTATACCACATTTATTTCAGGTAAACACGAGCAAGTCTAGAAGGCCAGATTCAAGAAGACTGGGGGTATGTGCAGAGGTCCCTAAGCAAGTAGGAGATCCTGGTAGCAAGCTGTGTCTTCAGAGCTCTGCTTCAAAGCCAGTGGGTCCTCCTGCAAGGCCTGGCTACCACATTATGCAGCTCTCCACAGCACTGTTGTGAGTGTGGATGAAGTGGTACACCAAGGCTTTGCTTGCACTCTGACATATGAGCATGATCTCATATTTAGTGCTGCCCTAAAAACATCAGTTCAACTTCAGACTTTGAAAAGCACTTTCTCACTCACCTGTCTCCTGAAGGCACCTAAAAATCAGAGTAACCAAGGCACAAGGAAAAGTCCTTATATCTAACCTTTTTTATATTGGTTTGCGTACAATATGTTTTGAGACAACAGAAAATGCACCAAACATAGCAGGTTTGATTCATCTGTACAACCTTCATCAACCTGCTCCTAACACCCGATTTAAAAAAAAAAAAAAAAAAAAAAAAGCATTCTTGACCGATTGTGCCCATGAAATTTCCTGGTCCGTGTGGAACTGATGATAGTGATATTGGCCCATCATCTCCAATACCATCTTCCATTAAAACAAGCATAGATGTGAATGGGAAACATTGCTGAGTCAGTCTGTAACTCTAACAAGATCCACAAGCTCTTCAATAGACTGCATATTTCACCTTCTATTCATCTCTCGTTTAGACACTCTCATAGAAAATGACTCCTACCCTTCTGCTGACTGATTTCTATTCCATGCAGATAACTCTTCTCAGAGGTATGGCCACACTCTGAAATACTTAATACAGATCTCATTCCATTAGCTTCCAGCAAATCCCCAATTCTTTGCTGTAGCAATCTACTAATTCTTACATCCATTTTATGTCCAATTTCCAGTTGTAATGTCCACTCTGCTGATCTCTATGACCTAACCAGCTGTAGCTGTTTGTGTCAAACACATTCCTGAGACTAATCCATTAACATTCTCCAGCAGAGCCTTAGGGTCATCTTCATAGCTAGAGTTCTTTAACTATCGTTGTCCCTGTAACTTTGCAACTCACTGGGGGATATAAAGGCTCCCACTTCTTTTCAGATTGAGGTTTCAACAGATGACTTTTCTAAGAAATGAGAGCAGCTATGTCACTCTCATACACAACCACCCTCATGAAGGGAGAGGAGACTACTTTAGATTGACATTAGCAAGCTGATTTGCTGGAAATCAGTCAGAAATCCTGCCAGAAATAAAACTTCTCCTGACATCACTCCCTGGATAACGTGACTCCATGGAAACAGTAGGTTCATAGGGAATAAAGACAAAAGGTGTCAATACATCATCTCATCCTGCCTCACGCAATTTATTGTGTTGTGTCCTCAGTTGTGCTTGGCTACACAGTGTCTTCCAAGCCAATCTGGAACAGGTGAACAAAGAAACTTCTCCCATTGTCATTTTTTTCTGACAGTTAAACAATCTCAGCATGGAACACACAGCCTTAGTTTTCTTCCTCTTCCCACCTCTTCTGTTATGCTTTCTTCTTCTACATTACACCACCTGTTAACAATCATCATTGTCTCCCCATGAAGGTATTAAACATGCTGCAATCCAGTAACTTTTCAATCTTCTGCCTGATAAACTGGGCTGATCGAACTTCTTCAGTTTCACACCACAATGAATTTGTCTTTATTAATGCAGTTCTTTCAAACAGGTTCCACTTCCTGCAAGTAGGACTATGCCATGTGATTGCCTTGTCATTAATAACTCCTTTGCCTTACCGGATGAAACCCATACATGTTCCTGTCAGGAGAGATTCTATATTTGCTTTCAGGGCACTGCTGAAAATTCTGCAGAGTGTCAGGTGTAGAGCTAAGCACTGTGAAATCCTGGTAGGTATATGCCATTTAGCTACCACTTCCTACTGATGACTGGGGAGAGATGTGTTTTTGAGGTATGCTAGGTAACTGACACTGAGCAGTGCACACAACGGCATATTGTTCAAAATTTAATAGTTTACAAAAAATAAGACTTAAATTCTCAAATGTATTTAGGAGCCAAACCTTTAGTTGAATAAATTATACATTATCTTCCCGGGTAAACTGGAAAGCCTGGGTTTCCATGTATTAAACCTAGAAACTACCACTATTAGTTTTGAAAACTCCTCAGCAAATGAAATCAGTTGTGCCTGGCAAATCTTTTTTCAGAAAGCCACATAAATTCTTGTGATCTGAACTCCAGGAATTCCTTGCTAATTGGATATCAGCTTCTCAGTTACTCACACAGGACTGAGAGCAGTCTCAGTTGTCCCCAGGTATCCAGACCGTGGATACTGGCAGAATTGGCAGAATACTAGTGCTCTTCTAGAATACCCCAGGTATTCTGAAATATATTTTTAATTACAGCTGACCAGAGATCTATTAACCAGCCTCTTAGGACTCTAAACTATCCAGGGTCAGAATTAAAATAAAAATTAAAAAGCTTAATCCCAGTAGATGTTGATTAGAATCTTTTTTAGTTAACAGTAAATTAGAAAGCACCTCTCCATTCTGTTGCTTACCAAAAGAACTGTGATACTGATCTGCCTCAGCATTAATGTCAATATTTCACGCATCAAGGGTCAATTTTTTTTATTTTTTCATTTTTTTTTTTTAGGGATATCTGTGTGTTCTACTAGAACAAGCGAATTCTTACTGTCCTTAGTCTGGACAAATACAGATGTCTTTCCTACTCCACTGGATTAAGCTTTCTTCCATATAAATTTTCAGTACACAATTCATTCTACTGTATGTTTCCTTTTATCTTTTGAATACTGACACAGCATTAGCATCCTTTTGAATTCTCAAGTATTCTGAAATCCATTCAAAAACAGTGGGAGGGAAATATCAGCTACTTCTTCTTTTATCTATTTCTTATGTATTGATTTTTTGTTTTCTTGTTTCTGTATGCTCTCTTCCCTTCAGTCCATAACCCAGATGGGCTTTCAGCCAAAATTGTCTTTTTTCTTCATTGCAGCTCTTTGGCCCTACAGAAAAATCTTAAACAATTCTTTAGTCTAATTCACAGCTTTTCCGATCCGAGTGCTCCCTCCTCAGAAATTCTCATACTAATAGAATTGCCTGGATGGAAAATTATTTGGCTAGTGATGATTTACTTAGGGGCATTTAACAGACTTATCTAAGATAGCTACTCTACAGACAAAAATTATTAATGTTTTATCTTCTTGGCAGTAGCTGTTAGACAATCTGGAGGTACTTACTCAAGGATGTTTATTTCCATAAAGAAGATGGGTATAAACAAAATCTCATGACTACTTTAAATGCAATTTAGTCATTGACAGAAGAACGGGTTGACCTAAGCAAAATTTTCTATAGCTGCAATCAAGTAGTGTAGCTACAACTCAAGGCAGGGTATAGAGGCTGTGTGGTATGTCCTTCTCTGCATATTTAAATACTTTCTTTCATATGTTCTGCTTTTTTTCTGAATTTAGTGGCTCGATTTATCTACAGCAACATTTCTCAAAGTATCAGATGGGCCTGTGCTTGGAAGCTCAAATAATCCCCAGGAAAATAAGATGTGCATAGGTACAGAAGAACGAGCCTTGCTTTTTTTGTTTGCCAATGCTTGTCAATAGCTTTCACAACTAAGTTCAAATACACAAATGGCAGAGTTTCTTGTTGAATGCATCTAAAATCAATTATCTAAGTAAGCATGTTATCATGGGCAAAGGATAAAAAAATATCCTGACACAAAGACTTCTTGCCCTGTACTCTCATCTAGGCTATGGCGAGTGATTCTACTGTGCTTGTAAAAATGCTAGGAAGATCTCAGTCTATAACAAACATTGATTTTCACCTTCATATCCTTCTTTTTAAGTGAAGTACTTTGACTTCTACTACCCATATTTAAAGTTTCCGAAATGAAAGACACTGTAGAAATGCAAAGCACTCTACAAATGTCAGTTAGGCCCCACAACACAGTATTACTGCACAACATGGAAAGGGACTGATTTGTAGCAATCAAGGTACTTAAGAGTTTCACTTTATGTATTTGCAAGATTTAACTAGATTTTACTTTCCCTTCTGCACCACTTCAACATCTTTTTCTTGGAACTCACCTGGATATCTATCATTTCTTTCTGTAACATGAGTACTTAGTTTCCTCCTTAGCACATATCATGAAAAAAAATGTCACTTCTATGTATAGGTGTGTGCCTGAATGTAATTATGCAAATATCCATTCTGACGTGGCTCAAATAGGGGGCCTTTCTGAAAGTTTGGTACCTATGAATATTGGTACACATATTCACTACCTCTTTGAGCAGAGCTTAACCTTAACCATACCGTGTTGCTCCAATAAACTGCTGCTTTAAATCTGACCTTGAGTAAAATTCTTTAGCATCTGTCAACCTATCTCAAAATGTAAATATCCAGCTGGCCTATGACTGTATCCTAAAAAAAACATTATGATGGGCTTTATAAGTCCATTTCATGGCCTATATATACAAAAGGGCACAATGCCCAATACTCATTAACAAGGAGCTCTGTCTAACAACTAGGCTCTACCTCCACCCAAATTAACAAATAAGCTGTCACGGAAACCCAGTGGGATCTAGGTCAGGAACCCATATGCAAATTAAACAGCCCTGCATTCAGTACAAAAGTGCTGGAAAAGAAAATTAAATGTATCAGACTGAAATATGCAAATTCAAGACAAACTGGTTTTGGCTTCCACAGTGTAGAAGCCTAGTGAAGGATATATGTAGAGTGGGAGAAAACACATCTAATCCCGAGGCTAAGGAAAGATAGTTATAGTTTCCATGCTACAGCAACTGAATAACACTGACTGTAGTCCCAGATGCTTGCAAAAATAAGCAAAGCATGCTAAAGCATTACCCTAAGGGGTGAGGGGGAATCAAAGGCTTCCACTTTAGAAACCAAAATCTTACATTCAGAATATTTTGTCATATTTAATTTCAACTATACTTGAAGAAAAACAGCTACTAAAATCTTTCAGCAACTATTTGGCTTGACTGAATTAAGCTTCGATGGTATTGTGCATATATATCTTTCTATCATAGAATGACAGTGTCAGCTTTGAAATCCTTAAGCGAGTTTAAAATAATAATTGACTTTTATTATGTCAGTATTTCTGCTGTTTGATGTGTCACCTAAAAATACAGAAGGTATTTCTGATTTGACGAGAAAGCTACTTAACAAATTGCACAGTTAAAGCTGATTGTGTTTCTGAATTACATGGCATCTTAAATAAGAGTTCTCAAAACAGATAATAGGTTAAAAAAAAAAATCATACATTGCATGCATTTAGTTTTATCTTTAAAACTAAACATCTCAGATTAAAAATTGGATTTTGAAGCACTTTATTTTTAACTTGAAAAGGTTGCAATTTTGTGTGAAAGAGAATGAAAACGGTAGGGTCTTGTTTATGAATTAATGAAATGGGGAATCTGGTAACTTTTTCTAAAAAAAAAAAAAAAAAAAAAAAAAAAAAAAAAAATCAAATCTGTCTTGGAATAACTTTTAACTAAGTTAATAACAAGAGCAACTGCTCCTTCAGGGAATAAATTCTGTGGTGGAACAGGAAGAAGGATAACCCACAGTTTCTGACCTGCTGGTAAGGCAGAGTGGAAAACAGCGGGGGTGAGCTGCAGAGTGAACCTCAGGGATGCGAGTTTTCTATAGGCCCAGAATTCCTGGTCAACATTACAGTCGAGGTAAGATTTTAGCTTTAGTGCATACAATCAAGTTAATTTCAAACAAGTTATACTGCTAAAAGCATAAGGTTGGCAACGTTGAGCTCTGTGAGAATTTCAACATCTAGCCAGAAAGGTGATGGACTAAGACATCTTTCCTTCATCAGGGAGGTGCCCTAGCTCAGACACTGTGTCCTGTGCAGCATTATGCTTGCTCTGCTCTCCAAACTCTAATGTGTTTGAGGTTACAACACACAAAACTGAACAGACATGGGGCATCATTGTAGCACTGGTGCCCAGAATAAGAGTCCATTAGGCACATAAAATGGTGAAACATTCATCAAGGGAACAGTTGTCAAAATCAGCTGTCCCAGTACTCTCTGCATGCCCAGTCTTAGGGCATTTTTTATTATGATTATTATTATTACGGCATTTATTATCCAGTGAACTTTTAGCCAAGCTACTAAGTCTAAAGACAACTGGAAGGGTTAATATCATAAACTTGAATTTCTTGGCTTTTGCTGTTTTCAGACTAGTTTTGAAGGAGAATTCTTGTGTGAAAAAATTAAGAAGTTTCACTGGCACAGACACGGAATGGACAAGTACATATATTAAGAGGATTAATTACACCCAGATTTATGCACAGACTCATTACCATCAATGCACAGAGATGTTTCCAAAATTAACAAAAGAAAGGATTATGCTTTTGAGGCAATGGGAAGTCAAACAATCAAGGAGACTAAACTTCTCAAACAATCTTAATGAACCATGAGTGAGCAGGAGCCTGCTTACCTTCCACACATGAGGGCTGAGCCCTTGTAGTACCAGCCACCTGCCCTGGGAAGCAGGAACACTTGACTGTTTGCGATCGTTCTTCAATCCGGTTCTTATTGCAGCAGCGATGCACTGCCACAACTTCACATGTCCCTTGCTTGACTTGGTGCTGGCCTAATAATTGCAGAGATAAGTGATGAAGAGCAAAACAAAACATCAGTGCATAAAGAAAAAGTGAGTTCATACAGTCCTATAATATATCAAATCTCTTGCATGCCAGTTTAAAACCCAGGAAGACAAAAGGGCAAAGCATCTTGTAGGATCTGGCTTATTCCCTGAGTTTATCCTATTCTTAATAATAAAGATTAGTTCATCATAACAAGTCAATTTTTCAGTCTATCTTGTGTGGCCCTTACAAAGCCATGGGGAAAAAAGGAGATTGGAATAGTCAATTAGATGGATTAGATAAGACGACATTCAGAAACAGAGCACACACCTCCTTCCTTTGGTTTCCTGTCTTGCATTAGGTTTTATATTTAATTCTTTCCCTTCATAAATGGACACAATGGACAGGATAATACTTAATGCAAGGGAGACTTATCTTAAATAAGTGAAGTATTTTTATCTTTAGAAAGTAGGGAAACTTTCTAACATAACAACATGTAAGCACTGCTTGCTATGCCTAACATTGTAGGTAGGCTAAGAACAAGGTAGGATGAAAAGCTGTCATAGATGGTCAAGTTTTGTCAAAAAACCCCAAACAAACAAAAAAACCTCCCACAAGCTATATGGATTACCCGAGTTCCCTCCCAGACCACTCTAAAGAAACCTGTGATAAATATTCTACCCTATTGCCTTCCTCTCAGGTGCATTTCCCCACAATTCACTGTTCCCTGTTTCTCTGAGTTTATTTTTCCCTTCCTCTCCTTTCCTTGCTCCTCCATTCACATCTTAGCTCCACTACTCCTTGCACCTGACCATTTTCCTCCACTGCCACATTTACTCTCTGGCCTGTCTAAAACCCCTTCTCAGTAACCCCACTTCACAAAACCACTGTCCTCTTTGCATAAATCATTTCCATGTCCTCACTTTCCTGAACAGCCTTCAAGTGTTTCATCTTGCATTTGTCTCGTCTTATTTAGAGTAGAGCCTTGGATGGCTCTTATCTATGTTTGTAAAGCACCTTGTAAATTAACAGCACTACAGAACAGGGTGAGTTTTTTAATAAGTGAGCTAGACACAGAGACAACACAGAGAATAATAAAAATATTCACCATCAAAGCAGTACAGGCTCCTTATACAAGAAGATACTACGGTACAGATATTGGTGTAGGTGTGGGTAATATCAAAGGCACAGCAGACTAAAGAAAGGTGAAAGGGAGATCACTTTTCAGAAACAAAAAAACCTCCTAGTGGCAAACTTGGACGATTGTCCTCTTTCCTACTCACTCCATGCTTGCCCTGTTTTGGTTTTGTTTTTGTTTTTACAGTATCTGTTACTAGTACCACACACAGGATTTCGAAACAGAGAACACTTTGGTCTGATGCAATCTGACCAGGCTTACATCCTCATATATGAAAACTTACTGAGTGATTAAGATCACTCTAGCTTTTGGGCAGAAATTGTTATCAGTTGATTAAGTAGGAAATGTAACCTTCAAAAGAGTTAGCAATGAAATTTAGTCTTCTAAGGGTTGTTTATTTAAAAAAAAAAAAAAAAAAAAAAAAAAAAAAGCATTAAAAAAAAAATCCTTTTTAAAAGGTTGGCTTGACAGTATTCCTTTGCTGTGTGTCTTTTGGTTTCACAAGTATTTCAAGCACAGCTAAAGGGCTGTCTGACTTTTGTTGCCAAATTTGTATTCACAGCCACCTCAGTGGACAAGAAACTATGTATATGCAATCCTAGAAAGGAAATTTAGTCTTCTATTTGTGCACTCAACATGTAAAAAGAAATTATATATACAGAGATGTGCTTTGGGTTTTTTTCTGAAGGAAAAAGCTACATCGTAGCTTTAAGCAAATTATGCTACAGCACAAAAATGCATAAGGTATTTTACAGCAAGTTGGAAAAATGTTGAAGACAGCATAAAAGTATCTTACATAGCTACTGTAATAAAATTATTAGCAGACTGAATTTTCATACAAGTACCTAATACCCATATCATAATAAACATGAAAAAAATGAACACAGCTACCAGTTTGTAGGACAGTGGCTTTTCTGTAAGTCAGTATGGAAAATAAATATACAAATAGAAAAAATAAATTGGTCATGTTACTTGATTCCAAAGTATTGTTCCACAAAACACGTCGCATGATGATGTCTGGAGATAATAAGCAGATGGCCAGGGGTTCTGACAGAAAAGATTTTGTAAAACAAGGTTGTTCATTTAAGAGAGTGTATTTATTTAAATTAATTCATTATGAGCTCTACAGCCTGAGACAAAACTCTTTGGCGTAAACAGAGTAAATTTCCATTGGTTTCCTACAGTGCTTACAGTGGTGGTCCTGCATTCACTAGAGTCAACAACAAAATTTCTACTGACTTCAGGAGAGCAAGGTCAGTCTGGACTGTCTCTTGACAGGAGATTTTATAAGGGAAAGAAGAAAAAGCCCAAATCTGGAACTGCTCAGGCCACATACTTGAGTTCGCCATGTATCTCATCTGAAAGACCAAGCAGCCAGGTCTTTTTAATTAAACTCATTATTCACCAGACATCAGATGCCAAGATAAGAGTAGAAGCTATTTTTTCAGGCAGTACATCATAACGATGGACTATATCTCGCTCCAATGATCAATATGTAGCTGAAAGAATGTCTATTTTCAAGCTCAAATCCTGCTTCCTTTAGGTGAACACTCCTGTTAAGTCAATACCAAAATAAATCAAACGGGTTGGCCCTAAGCATGCAGCCCCAAAAAAACTGGGGCTCCTTTTCAATTATATTGTTTGATTTTAAAGCAGTGACAGCGCTCACTTGAAGTGCCAGGAGTCAAAGGCACACAGCTGTTTGCAGAAGGCAAAATTAAGTTACCTCATAAGTGCACCCCTTGAGTTAGTAGCTGTTTTACTTGTACATTTATTCATGCTTTGCAGCTACAGAAGCAGGTAAGAGCAGGTGTCCCCTCTTCATCTGCTGGCAGGGGCAGGATGCTAAGGGTTTAAAGTACTTCTGACATGCAAAGGAAGACAGCGCTCTCCTCCCTTGTCCCTAGAGCAGAGCTCTTATGGAGTATAACAGTGAAAGGTACTAAAAAGCCAAAGACATCTGCATGCATCATTTGCATTAATTGGATTGCCCTTGTAATAGTCTTTCCCTCCTACATGTTCACATCTATATTTCCTCCTGCTTGTTCACGCAAATCTTAACACTTTTTATTCTATTGAACACTATATACATTACTTCTTAATATTCAGACACATCTGTGAACAGGTGCTGAACAAATGCTAAGTGATAGCATTTGTGTCCCATTTTTGTCAGTGTTCAGCAATCTAGAGGACAAGCACTCAGTTTGCAGAGTGGCTTTCAGATTTGAGAAAACTCACAGAGTATCTTAAAAACTAACCATCAACTCAGTTTATTCTCTGCCTAGATATACTGAAACCTGTTGTATCTACATTCAGGTGCCCAAAGGCAGCAAAAAGAAAAAAAATATAATACTCTCCTGCACATTTTAATCTCCATCTTGCACTAGATAAACCTTCATCTCAGGTTTAAAGTACAAGCTGAGAGCACAATGACAGAAAATCTCAAGAACAGCCATAAAATATTTTATACTCAATGAATTCTCAGGAAACCAAGGCATCAGAGGAGCAGGGCCTGGAGAATTTTTAAAGTGTGAAGATCACAGTAAGTGAATTCTATGCTGGACACATCAGGACACCATTTCAGGGAGAACTGCAATGAAAGATAGGGAGAAAGCCAGGCTATGGAGAGCAAAGCCCCTTTGGGCTCACTTATAAAAAGCCCATAAATTCATAGGTCTTCACCTGTAAACCTATTCAGATCTGCAACTTAAGGGCTGTCAATATTTGCAGTTGAAATTCAGTTACATCTTCACATTTAAATAAGAAAACTCTCCAAGGAGAAATACATTTTATCAGCAACAGTACAAGAGAAAGGTTCTTGTCTTAGAACACCTTCTGCATACCGAAGAGGGAAGGTCTGTCAGCCAGGCACTGTGGAGGACAGGGGATGAATGTGGAAAACTATGGGGCTCTGGGTTACCTCTGATCGGGAGTTTGGCACACGTGTTGCTCTCCAAATCCTCATTTCTTTACAGCTTCCCTTCCCTAGAAGCACCAAGGCTATTCAAGTTCACTAAGGACACTTTCCCTATCTCTCCATACAGGGTACAAGACATAATGGGATAACACTGGCTAAAGCAAACAGCCTCCAGGACCGCTCCCTGCTATGAATTTTGCTGCCTTCCATAATGAGATACCTACAGATAACAACAGACTTCAGGTGCCCAAGCCCAAGATGCCTCTTAATGACCTCAAGGACTGGTCACACAAAGGCTCTGTGACCATTTCTTCATTATCTTTCCAGTCCAGAAGATGGTAGTGTATAGAGCTGCTAGACAGTCTTCACAGTTTTTAGAGAAGGCAGCCATCACCTCTGAAGAACAAGAAAGCACAAACTAGGAATATATTAGGTTTGCACATTGCAAACCAGCACAAGTGTTGTGAGTAGAGTTGACTGAATAATCACACTGAAGTGTTTATTCTCAGTTTAATACACTTTTTTCAAGTAACAAATTTGCCAAGACCTTATTTTCACTTTCTTCATAGAAGTCAGGAGGCAGATATGCAATATGATAATGCTTCTAAAAACTCTTTGAAATCCTCAAATGAAAAGAGAGAAATACAATTATTGTTAATAAAATACCAAACATCATAGTCACGCAATTCAAAACCACAAGGAAAATATCAAAGAGGAAGGCTTTCAGAAGGTTGCTCACCAATTCTGTCCACATCTCTGTGACTAGTTCTAATCACTCCCAAGGAGTATTCTCTTTCAGCAGGCAGCATGTCTTTATCAGAAATCCTGAATAACCTCTTTTTCTAGTTTCTTAGCTAAGAAACATATGGAAAAGGCACATTTAAAGGGAGTTTTTATCTCTGTTTCATAAGCTGCCTTCTTCAATGAAGAAAGCAATTAGTACTGTGGAGAAC